GTGTGTGTGTGAGAGTGAAGGGAGTTGCAACAGGCCTGCGCAGCTGCTGCCACTGCTCAACGAGCGCCACTGCGACATCCTCCATGAAGGGAACAAAACCTCCCAATATTATCTAAGGCCTATTGCATCATCTCTTTCTGAAATGTCCGCAGGCTGGCTGACCCTTGCAAGCCCCTTTCACTGTCCTGAGGTCAAAATCTGTTCCCTTGTCCCAGGCCCCCTTCCTCAACATGACTGGAGCTGAAAGATTATTTTCCTGTCTACTTAAGCTATGTTACGTAAGCTGTGAAAAGAGCTAGATCGGAAGGAAATTAACTGTAGAAAAATAAACAAACCAAAGACAACCAAAAAACAGAATGAAACATTAAAGATATAAAATATATAAAAATCAAAACTACTTTGGAGATTGACACAGAATTGCTTAATCCACTCATAATCAGCCAAACAAAGCAGAGAGAAAGACAGAGAGTAAAATTAAAAAAGGACACAAGCACTGAACTACAGCAGAGTGACGTCACAGGCCAGGTATCGCCATGGTGACAGTGCAAGGGATGGGGATACTTACCTGGTAAAACATGGGTATGGGTAGGAGGAGAAGGAAGGGGAGGACAGACAGACAGATAGACAGGGGAATCTCAACACAAAAGGCATAAAAAGAATTTGGACTAGTCTGCTGCTCCTGTTGCCAGCCAGATACAATAATCAATCTTACTGATAGTGATTATCAATTCAGTTTGGTTTCAGTTTTTTCTTCCCACATATTTAAAGTTAGTTTTTTTTTTTCATGAATCAATTTTCTATATATACCATTGGGCATATGGAATAACTACAAGCATTGGGCTTGGAAATGTATAATCAGAAGATTCACTGATTAAATTTCTTGCCATTTTTTTTATTAAGGGTTTTCTCTAAAAGAAAGAAAAACAGTGCTAATACCATGCATTTTCCACTGTCCTGCCAAAGTAATACTTTGAGCCAAAAAGAGCCCAGTGACAACATGTCTAATAATAATTACTTTAAAGCGGGCTACTTCCTGGCACATTCTTACCTTTCTGGACAGAGGAGGGTAAGAACATTATTTGATGCAAATATCTGTGTCATTCCTGTGCATTCCTAATTTAATTTAGTCATCACAGCCCAATGACATATTAATTCTGAAATCATTAATGCATGGGCATTGTAACATATAATGGCTTGCCTGGACTCTCGGTCCACTGCAGTGTCTGGTAGCTGGGTCGGCTTTTAGCTTAAAACTCTGATTGCACGATTGTGAAGGCCTTACTTCACTGAAGAAGTGAGAAGAGAGGACTGATTGTGTGATATCTAGATCACAAGACTACCTACTGATAGACATGTGTTTTCACACTCTTTGCCCAACTGTGGTAGAGAAGTTAAACCAAAAAAGTTAGGGTCCGTTAGCCAGCCACTGCAGTGGTCTGTTTGAATGGAGTCACAAGCCAGGCCCAGAATTAAAGATTAATGAACAATTACAGTCAACCCAAACTATCACCAATCTTTAAACACAGTGACAATACTTCCACATTACCCATTCCAGTGGAAAAGAAAGGGACCAGACAAAAACAATGTGCATCTAAATCACAGGGTGTGAATCACAAGGTTTAAAAAAACTGAAAACAAACAAAATGACAATGTTCTAAGAGTAATACAAATGCATGATAATATACAAGCAGCAGAATGAGGACTAATACAGAGAGAATTGAAAGCCTATGTAGCATTGGTGCTCTGATGAGAGGAAAACAAAAAATGGGAGAAATTAAAACAAAATAAAAAAAACAATTCAATTGGGGGATAAAATAACATTTACCACTAAGTTTACCATCAGCACAACATGGGCAGGATCAAATCGCTGTAAAAAAGAAACACCAATTGGTTAAGCAGGAAGATTGAGGCACATAGAGAAGGGAGGGTGGGTTTGGGAGTGTGGTTGTGGGTTTTAGGGGGTTTAATACCAGAGGGGCATCAGTGTGTCACCCCCCACCCCCCGCATCCCTTCACTCAGGGCTAGATGCTTACAGGGATTTCCTCTCACCACTCTCTCCCAACCACTGGTCCCAGTCCCCAGGCCCCTAGCCTGGCGTCATCTTGCTCTCTCAACCAGAATATGCCCCAAAGGTAACAAACTACCACCCCATAACAAAGTACACCAAAAGTCCTGCATCCCTGTATCAGTATAAACCCAGCAAACCTTCACTTTTTACCTTTGCAGAGCCCCCATCAGATAAGTACTTTTGGAGCAGTCGTACTGGGTGAGGGAATGATTAAGAAACTGCAGATTCTAATGGCATATTAACCCCCGAAGGAAAAAAGTTAGAGTATCGTCCAACAAAAGTTGTGAATCAAAAGTAACATCTACTTTTGGAGTGTCTGGTACAGGGAACTGATTGTGATGGGGTTTTTTTTCCCCCAACATGTGGTCAAATATCTAGTCTGAGATGATAAGATGCCTCTAGGGACGACCACCATTTTCCCCCTTTGAGCTTTTAGCCTCACAGATGCTTGTCAGCCCAGTTAGCAAATCTCCCTGAGATTCTTTCATTTCCGCGCTAGCTTAGAGCCAGCAAGCTTGTTTTGGGATGTGCTTAACCCCGGAACAAGTGAACACATGACACACATAAAATGTACCTGAGGAAAGAGCCAGCAAGGCTTTGAGCAGTGCTTAGAGCGGGGTTCTGCATTGCAATGCAACAGCAGTTTTTACCAAAGTACACTTACAAATGTGAACTGTGCACCCATCTGGAGTGTTACATTTCACTCTATCGTGTGAAAGTAGTAGCTCAGTGTGTTACCTCCAACACTGCTTAAAGCCCCAGGTGAGTGTGACAGTTTGAGGCAGGCAGGAGTGCACCTCTGGGACAAACATGCTGTGCAGGAGGGGCAAAGAAACAAGGGGAGGACGGAGTGTGTAACCATGGGGACAGAGACATTCAGGGTGTAGAAGGGTGGTGAGGTTTTCCCTGTAAGTTGACTCTATGGCCCGGTCAGTAACAGACACGCTCACACACACATCTCAGTCCCACATAATGACCACACACATACACACAAGTTTCACAGGTTTGGAGGTAGAAACAGGCAAACAAGCAGAGGAGGGGGGAGGGAAACTTGTCTACTCTGCAAGCCATTCAAAGTCTGAGCCGTGGTTACAGCCAATCAGATACCCGACAGCAGCAACGGAAACTCAAAGAGGAAAACAAAATCTAACATACGTGGAGATGATGATTCTAGAGGATGTGATGGAATCATGGCTTCCTAAATCTATCTTGATTTCAAATGGATTTTTGTTCTTTGTTCAAATCGAAGCACTTTACACTTGTGCAGATTGAAATAAAGGTTTAGTGATTATGAAGCAAAGAGGAGGAAGCTGACAGAGGCCATTAGCCTACGGTACACTGTAAAAGGGGTGTTACATTGAGGTCAACTGCAGAGTGGGAGAAAGAAAACACACCCACGCACACACACACATACTGACATACAGAGGGGATCCAACAAACCTTACCTAAAAAGGGGCAAAAAGGACAAAAGAAGAATAAGAACAAAGTCAATACAGTGAAAAACTTAAAAAGGGGACACAATGCTTTCACTTCAAAATTCAAAAACCTTCTCTTCTGGCAAGGAGGACAGGAAAGGAGAGGAAGATTATAATGATTATCCAGCAGACTTCAATGTGATGCAAGGGTGCAATTGTGTTGTGAGTCTACTCCTAAGTGCATTAGCAAATTTGAACAGAGATAGTGGGCTCCAACACTGAGCCATTAATTCCAACACAACAACTGGACACACTTTGCTGCAGTCTCATCTGCCCACAAAGCAGGATGCTTACATAACCACACGTCAGTGGTGCCAGAGGCAGAAACAAGAGCACAGTCAGCCCCTGCAACTCGTTCTCTCCTCCACACATCCTTATCACATCAAATACATTGCTATTCAGCTGTTCAAGGCCAGATGGAAATAAACAATGATGAACACCAAATGCTAAGTTCAAAAATTACTGCTGTGTTGTTCTCTCCATACACTTGTCAACCTGCCAAGAATGAAGTAGCTTCCTGGTCTACTCTTGTCCCTGTCCACAGTCAGGCCGAGAATACCTATGAGACGACAGGGGGAACCAAGGCCATATATGTACATGAACAAGAGGTGCTAGGGTAGCCATGACACTGCTCAACAGCCAGTCATCAGATCTGTGCGTCTCTGGAAGCTCACACAATTAATATTTAATGTCTAAATGTCAGACCACAAAATATGATGCCTCTTCAATTAGTCAGGCAGTCAGTGTGAGCGGATATAAATCAAGATACAAGTGAGTTACAGTGATACCTGCCTGTGAAACTATTTCCACACCAAGGCAAATAAATCAACATTTAGATGTGAGAACGGTCACTCTGCCGAGCCCCAGCAGGCTACGTCTGTTTTGTTACCACCCACTCTGAATGAGCACGTATACACTACAGTTTATACACTACTGTTTATAGTCAAGCACAAAATTCAGCTTCCCATAGATAAAGTTTACTGTGTCCGTCAGACAATTGCACAGACAAATTAAATTCTCATTACCAGAACCATTAACATAAGAAAGGCAATAATCTATTTATGCTGCCTACACATCGAATAAAGTCAGACAAGTCTGAACACAGAGGACTTTTGAATTTAAGCGACTCGCCTAGCTTTGCATTTGGTGATATGCTATATGTTCATGTGTAAGGCTAAAGCTTTCCTATAGTTTGGGCGTGTGCTGGAGACATTGCAGAATGAGTTGTGTTTCTCATTAAAATCCTGATATTGAGCCCATGTTACTGCTGGGTTTACAGGGAGAGCAATGCACTTGAGCAAGAGTTGAAACTGAGCAACAAAAGAGAAATGAAGTAGACAGAAATGGCTGCATGACAGTTACAGTAATGAAACTGGTAAATATGAGGTTAAAATGGTGTGGACTGAGAGGATAGAGAAGAACATGGTGGAGGAGGCAGACAAAACTAAATGCCAGAAATTATGTGGAAAAAACAAGCTCCATTCTTAGCAGACTGCAAAGACTCATTGGCCTGCCAGTGATGACATCACTCATGGATATTGTTATACACCATCCCTTTTGGACAAAGTGCAGGGAAGGGTGCGGCTATGAAGACAGAGTTTAAGTAATAAAGACAGAAAGAATAAAGATACTGATGAGACAGAGGGTGAAGAGACAGGAAGAGGCTCAGTGGAAACACGCCAGGCCTCTGCACCACTGCCTCTGAGCCAATGAGCCTATGAGCACAGCAGGGCTGAGCTAATGAGGTGCTGACGTTAGCCAAGACCAACCCACACACCCAGCTCTGTTCAGCCTGCTCCCTCTTACAGCAAGTCAATATCAACTAGGCCATCCAATTACAGTTGTCTCCAGAAAATAAACCTCCTTAGTGCAGCTTTCTAGTTGAAAGCTTTTTACATCTTGCGAAATTAATTCAATGCGCAGACCTTACAGGGCATTTTTGTGGTATAGCTTTCACTACACCCGAGACAACAATCCCCAATCTTAATATGAAAGAGAAAACTTCTAGTGCACACATGATCTTTATAGATTTTCTAAAAAGTGAATATTATGCAGACTACAGTGATAAAGGATGACATTGTGAGTTCAGTAAAACATTAAGACACCATCCAAATAGACTCTCAAAACAAGACCATCTAGTGTACCTTGGTTCTTGATCAGGTCTAATTTCATTACTGTAGGGGCCTGGTCTGTAATTGCAAATATAACTGACCAAGACAAAGCCCAAGACAGTCTTCTGCCTGTTAATTCAAGTGCTTTACATTCCAGCAATGAGGCAGCTATGTCGGATAGAGTTCTGGCTCCAGAGTCCACCATGTGCTCTTCATTATCACTTTTGCATCACTGCCCCGAAAGAAAACAAACGCCCATGTTTCACAAAAGAAACTGTAACTAAGCTACAAACCCGGCATTGTAAGGTGATCAGAAGATGTTTGTTTATAACCATGGGTTCAGAGAAAGATCTGGAGAACTTGTGTGCTGGCACATCAGCAATCCAGAGTCCATAAACACCTTTTCGCTAAAAACAACTAGATGTGGAAAAAAAACTGCATCCAATTAAACTGTGATTTGGAAGGGGAAAATCCCACTTTAATCTGAATTGCTGTGAACTAAATGCATCATTGGAAGACAAATAAACAGTTCACTTGCAACTCCCAACCCCCAGAGTCCCTGCCCATAGTCTTAATCTTCTACAAGGCCTCCCTCTTCAAGTGTGAGGGAAAAGCAGCAAGAGAGCGACAGGAACAACTGGAATGATGTTTTATTTAAATAAAAATCAATTTTACTCAGCAACAGACACAAAGGGAGAGTTTAGAGAAAGAATGAAGAGAAAAGAAAATTTGCCGATACAAAAAAAACACCCTGGAAATTTGAGGGGAAAGAAAATGGCAGAGGGCAGTGGCTCAGTACCACCAGCATACATTGAACAAAGGTGTACGGAAGAGTGAGTCCTTACCCTGCATGGTTTTGCCAAGGCCTTGCCCCAACTTCCAGCCATGTTTCTGAAGCAGCCGGTGCCCGATGTTATCCTAGCAGAGAGAAGAGAGGAGAAAAAAACCAAAAATATTCCAATAATAAGAGGAGCTTTTCCCCGTGGGCACTGGTCAAAAAACAAACAAACAAACAAACAAAATAAAATCAAACACTCAGATCACGCCATCATCATCAGCACAACCACCACCATTATCATTATCGTCATCCACATCACCTACAGCGTGTAACATCAGTGTCTTCCAGCACAAGGAGTGGTAGGGGCGGTTGGGGTGAGGGGGGGGAGATAGAGGGTGGGAGACTGAGAGGAAGGGTAGATTTTCCACTATGATGAATACATAAGGCTATGTGTAGACTGTAAACTACAGGGTACCCTCCTACTTTAGGAGTGCAGTTCAAAAACCTTTTTTAAAAAAGGCAAAGAAATTGGGCACAAGCATTTATAATTATTTTTTTTTTCAATTATATATAAGATAACACATCAAGTCACATCCACTAACTGAGAAGTTAAGAGGAGGAGGAGGAGGAGGGAGAGGGTAATATATGTATCACACGCATACATATATGAACCACTACAGAGCAAGATCTTAGTACACAAAGAAAAGTGACACAGAACAGGTATGGAAATCTTGCATTAACAAAAAAAAAAGACCAGAGACTCCAAGCTTGCTGTGATTCTGTAACCATGACAAGGGTAGCACCATGAAACATATGCAGCTGTCACAAAAAAATACAGCGAGAGGGAGAGACAGAAGTGGAACTAGTGGGCCTTGGATTACCATTACAAGGCCCAGGGTGGACAGAATATGCAAGTGTGAGGGGATATGTGGGTGTGCAGGTGAAGAGAGGGAGACATTGTGTGCATGTAGCCCCATTAAATACTAGAAATAGCTGTTGTGTATGTTTTTGGACACCTCCAGCATCTCTGGTCTGTTATCAATGGTCTGGTCCCACCATCATTACACACAAAGTAATGCCAAAGTTATGTCAATCCCAGAGATATCATTAGGATTCGTACTTTACAGACCAGATGACCTTCTCCAAACTGCAAGGTATTCTTTAGCTAGCATAAAAGGAATGATAGTAGCTTTATAACAAGCTCCGACAAAATTTTCACAGTGGACACCAAAAGTGTGCAACTGCAGTAAGGGCATCTGCTTTAAAGTACTCATTTTCTGGTTTTCTTTTAATACTAATGATTGCTTTGACAAAGTATACAAATATACATGTGGTCAAGATCAGGCAATTGATAAGGAATCAAAGAGGCAATAGAGGAGTGCGAGAACATAAACAACAGGGATACCTAGTACACTCTGGGGCCAGATGTGCATGTCTGAGACTGTTATATATATGTATCTCACTAGTATGGGTCAACAAGAAAACAAAAACATTAAGTGAAATGCAAGACCGTCCCACCACTACACACTACAGTACATCCTCAAGCACAAATAAACAAGAAACAATGAGATTTCTTAATAAGCAGTGTTTTTCTGTTGTGATTATAACTATTCCAAGCTTGTCTAACATTCACCAGAGTGCTGCATTCTACCAAAAAACATACAAATCAAACAAAAAAGGATATTTATAATCACAAAGAGATCAACTTTCACAAACAGAAAGTGAAGGGGTTGGAACAAAACAGCATGCAGCTTTTTGTTAAGATTTTTAACAAAAAGGGTCGTCGGTGTTAGTAGCGCACTGTGAATGGTACACATACAGAGGGGTGGGGCGGGCTGGGGGTGGATGGC